CCATAACTCAATTTCTTTGAAGAGGGAGAATATTTTGATTTATCCAATCAGATAACGCCAATTAAATTAACACCATCACAAGAATTAGAAAAAATACCTGATTATTTAATATGGTCAATTGGCAATTTTATTTTATTTTTTATTCTTGGAATTGTTTGTGTTATATTGTCCGTGCGTGTTCGAGAACATAAAGCGGAACGTGATTATTTCAAAAGTAAAAAAATATCGAGAATGACTTTATTTGTAAATATTCTTTGTACTGTTATTGGACTCAGTTTTCTAATTACCATGTTAGCAATATTGATATCAAAATCTTCGACACCGTTTTAGATTAATGAACATATTTATCAATTCAATTAAAATAACAATATCAGATGCTTCTTTAATGTTGAATCAAAACAAAAGTTTTTTAAAATCAATATTATTCAAGTAAGTCATATTTTTTAGAATATTTCATTTCTAAAATATATATACTTAAAATACAATATGTTTTCATATTATTATGTATTGTCTAAACTAAAGTAATTCTATAAGCTAGTTGAAAACATTTTTTCTTTGTATCTTCTTTATTCTCTTCTTTGTCGTATTTTATGCAATTTTATTTACTATTTTTGCACTTGGTTTTAAGTTTCCTATTTTTTTAACATAAAAGTACATTATATTATATAGTTTCAATAAAACATGATTTATTCTTTCGAATGAACGGCAAAACTTTAATTTTATCTTGTATATTTAGAGTAGAAAAAACCATTAAATTGAAATTAGTGTTTTCTATTTTAACTTTTCAAGAGAAACTTAATGGTATCCGTAAATCATATGATAAATGGTTGATGCAATTGTCTGATGATAACTCACTGGTACGCTAAAATGTGAAATCAAATAGAGTTTTCTGTTGTACATCGTTAAATACTTGCTTTACATAACCGTTAGAGAACTATCATTTCGTCTCAATGATGTTTAGCAGCAGATAGAAATAATAAACATAAACCAATGGAAGATAATAATTTATTTATATAACTCGTTTCAATTAATAAATATATCCAAAGATATGTTTTTCTTTCTTTTTAAATCCAAAAATCAAATAAAAAAAAAAATGAAACGATTGTTTGCTTCTCGAACTACAAACGATATATCGCGTTTCAACAACATCTCTTACTCGCTTGTCTTTTCAAAAAATATTCTCCCTCTTCAAAGAAATTGAGTTATGGGTAAGATTAGATGTATATTACAACATAGATGAAAGTGTGACCTTCCCAAGATTAAAATATCGAACATTTCTATTCAGTAAGATATAAAATATCGAACATTTATAAGTGTCATTCTACGATTTTCAATGAAATATGTATTATATATACTATCATCGAATGAGATGATTACAAATACAATAGTTTTAGCTAACATCGTAAAATGAGTTCTAAGTTATACCGTTCTTGTTTTTTCAGTGATAAAACA